AGAGGGATCTTTTCAGGTAAAGAACATCAGGAAGTTAGTGGTATAAACTCACCAGTTGTCGCACAGGAGCAAGGTGAGGCAGTCTGGGTCTGCGAGGCTGTGCAGCCTGAGGAGCTCTGTGCAGGTGATTCCATAGGAGTTCTGCTCGTCAGCCTGGACTCAACAGCAGACGGTTTGTTTTAGTTACTGGTTCTTTTTCTGTTGTATCTTAGTTTTACCTTAACATTGAAGACACATAACACATGGGTAGGTGTAGAGAACAGACTTTTCTCTCTTGCTTTCTGTAGGTTGAAAGTCCAAATCAGAGTAGGAGCCATGGGATTCTGCCCGGGGCCTCTCACTTATTCTGGTGCCTGTGGGCCAGATTTGGTGTTCCTTTGCTGTGGACAGGTCCTTGTAGGATTTCAAGTGTGATTGTGTGTGTATTCTCCTCTCAGAATGGAGCAGGATTGGAACTTATTCAAGAACAACCTCAATCATGTGTTGTTGTTAAGTACTGTGGAGTCGATTATGACTCATTGCAACCCTACTGGCAACAGATCAGAGCCTTGTCCTCTCCTGCTCCTTTTGACAGTCTCAAATACTCAAGCTTATTGTTGCAATGACTCTGTGTTGATTCATCTTATTGAAGGTTTTCTCTCTCATGGACTTGCTACCTTGCCAACCATGATTTCTTTTTCCAAGGACTGATCTCTTCTGAAAGCATGTCAAAGTATGTGAGTCTTAGACAACTCATAGCAACCCTGTGAACGAAAGACCTGAACTCTTGTATAACTTTCATCATTTCTTCAACTTCATAGGGTTTCCAGAGACAAGCTATTTCAGAAGTGGATGCTACTCCTGCTTCCAAGCTTGTTTTAATTGGGGAGCTCCACCAAGTACTGTCCACCATGAGTAACCATTATTGCATTTGGCACCTCAGTGTCATAGTGTTCAGCATCACAGCAACCCGAGTTACCTCTACCACTTAAAATAATTTTTGACCAAAACCAATTAAAACCAGGCCCAAGGAACCCACCTTTGGCTCGGTAGCATCACTTTCTGTCCACTAGGCCAACTGAGCTCTATGTTGTTGTTATCGTTATGTGTTGTTGTTGTTGTTAAGTGCTGTTGAGTTGCAGGCGACTCATAGTGACCCTATGAAAGAGAGTCCTCGACACTTGGGTGCCTTTCACCTTCTCTCCACGTTCACAGGGTTTTTGGAGGCAAGCTATTATGGAAGTGGATGCCACTCCTCCTTCCAAGTTTGTTTTAATCGGGGAGCTCCACCAAACACTATCCACATTGGGGCATTGGGTAGCCAACCATTAATGCATTTGACACATCAGTGTCACAGTGTTCAGCCTCACAGCAAGCACAAGTGACCGCGGTATGGCAACTTGTACACCAGGGCTATACGACCTAGAGGAATTCGTTAAGTGTAGTCCATATTATATTCTGTGCTCTTTACTAATACCACTATATCTTTTGGAAGCAGGAGGGGCAGCCACTTCCTAAACAACATGCCTCTGGAAACACTATGAACTTTGAGAAATGACAGTAGTTATAGAAAGGCTTCAGGTCTTTTGTTCATAGGGTCTCTATGAGTCATGCTCAACTTGACAGCAATCAACAACAACAACTCGGTAACAGAGAAAAAAATCCCACACAAACAAACAACAAACCTCCCAATAGAGTTATGTTTACAGCTATGGGAGTTAAGATGACCACAGTTCTTTGGGAGCTTAAAAAAAAAATTCAATCTGTAGCAGTTTAACTTTGAAAAAGAATTCTTATAGTTTATTTTTTAGATTCCATCTCAAACTTTTTGATCTCAGCAGCCCTGGGCATCCTTGGAAATTAGAGGATCCCAAAGAGGTTTTGTCTGTATGTTTCATGTCTATAAATACTTGCTGTGCTAGAAATGAAAGTCAAGCAAAATTTTAAAACACAAGAATTCACAATGGTGCATTCTGTTAGCTACACGAGCCTCTAGAAATATGTATACTTGAGAGAAAAAGAGGTGAAAAGAGCAATTGACCTGTTTATTCAAGAATATAAAAGGAATAAAAAGGCTCTCTGTCGATGTAGTGTATTAAGTGTTCTGCTGCAGTTATAGACGCAGCCCTGATGTACTCATCAATCTATGCCAGGAAATTTGGCGGACAGCTGCCCGGCCAGCAGATTGGAAGAGGTTCATATTTGTTCACTTTCCTAAGAAAGATGATCCAACAGAATGTGGGAACTATGGAACAATGTTATTACTATCACATGTAAGCAAAATACAGAGGATCATCTAAAAAATGGCTAGAACAGTAACATAGATAGGAAACTATCAGAAGTTCGAGCAGGATTTAGAAGAGGTGGTAGTACCAGGAATATTATTGCTTATGTCAGTCAGATGGATTAAGGCTGAAAATAAAGAATACCAGAAAACTATCTATTTGTGCTTCATTGACTATGCAAAGGTATTTGACTGTGTGGATCATAACAAGTTATGGCTAAGATTGAGAAAAATAGGAATCCTAAAGCACTTAGTTGTGTTCATGCAAGACCTATACCTAGGCGAGGAGGCTGTTGTGTGAACAGAGCAATGGAACGCTACATGGTTTCAAATCAGGAAAGGAGTCTATCAGGGTTGTATCCTCTCTCCATATCTATTCAATCTACATGCTGAGCAAGCCATTCTAGAAGCTAGACTCTGTGAAGAGGAATGTGGCATCAGGATCTGAGGGAGACTCGTCAATAACATGTTATACAGACAACACAACCTTGCTTGCTGAAAGTGAGGAGGACTTGAAGCACTTGTTGAAGAAGATCAAAGAATACAGCTTTCAGTATGGATTGCATCTCAATGTCAAGAAAACAAAGATTCTTATCACTGGACTGATAGGTAACACCATGATAGATGGAGAAAAGATTAAAACTGTCAACAACTTCATCTTACTTGGAACCACAATTAACACCCTTGGTACCAACAGTTAGGTGATGCACCACACTTCAAAAAGCTGCATTTAGGGACCTCTTCAAATTATTGAGGGTTAATGATGTCAGTTTGAGGACTAAAGTGCTTCTAATTCAGGCCATGGTCTTTCTGATCATTTGTTGTGCATCTGAGAGCTGGATAATGAATAAGGATGACAGAAGAAGAAGTGATGCCTTTGAGCTGTGGTGTTGGAGAAAATTGCTGAATATTCCATGGATTGCTAAACGAACAAAACCACACACACACACACACGCCCAAATATGTCTTAGAGGGGGACAATCAGAGTGCTCTTTGGAGGCAATCATGACGAGGCCTCACCTCACATTTTGGGCATGTTGCTAGGAGGGACTATCCTTTGGCGAGGGACATAATACGTGAAAAGATAGAGAGTTGGCAAAGGAGAGGGAGACCCTTGGTGAATTGCACTGACATGGTGAATGCTGCGATAGGCTCTAACTTGTTAGGAAGTGTGAGGATGGCACAGGATGGGACAGGGTTTAGATCTGTTGTTCATAAGGTTGCTATGGGTCATACTCAACTTGATGGCACCTAACAGCAGCAGCAACAACAACAACAACTAATTAAAGGTCAGTGGTTTGAACCCAGCAGCTGCTTCTCTGGAGAAAGATGAAGTTTGCCCCCATAAAGACTTACTTAGAGTCTCAAACCTGATGTGAAGGCATCATGAGTCAGAACTTAGTCAAGGGCAGTGGGTTTGGTATTTGGTATTACAAAAGCAAAATCGTTTTTACCTTGAAAATCCCATGGGAAGGATTGGGGAAGAGCCCTGCATTCTTGAGAACACTGTCAGAACCAAGGTAGTCCTCCAGTGATTACTTCCTGAGTGAGTTTTTCCTTGATGCTGGAATTTCAGGTGGCCGGGCAATGGGAAAACACTGCGCACTTCCTTGGTGCCTAAGACCTCATCTGGGTCCCTACTCCACCTCTACATCACACAATCCTAAGTTTCTAAAAAAGCCTTATTTAATGTGGGTGAGTCTTGAGGGGACTCGGGGAGCTTAGGGTAAGGGTTGCACTGCTTACTCAAAATCATACAATTGGACCCCACCAGGTCCTTAGCAGGAGAAAGATGGGCAGTCTCTGCCCTGCGATCAACTGCCTCTGAACACCCACTGTCATGTCAGTGACGGGCCTGACTCTACGGTACACAACAACAACAACGTTCTTCTCCATGAACCGGCTTCCGCTGCGCTCTGGTGGTGTAGTCACTGGGAGTTGTTCTGCTGACCCAGGCAGATACCTCGCTGCTGATTCAAATCCACCAGCAGATCCACAGGAGAAAGATGATAAATCTCTACGCTTGTGAAAAGCTGTTGGAGGGTCAGCTCTGAGTCAGCTCCAAGTTGATGACAATGACTTTGAGGGTTGTTTTTGGTTTCTTAGTAACAAGCCCAAAAAGCATGTGAGGCGTTCTCACCATCCTTGCCTTTAGGGAACCCTCTAGATGAACTTCATGCAAGATGGAGTTATTTCTTCTTCTCCAGGCCCATGATAGATTCCGTTAGTTTCTCTCACCAGTGGTGGAGGCTTTCGGAGGCTGTAGTATTTTATGAGAGCAGATCAACAGTTCTTCCTCCAGCAGAGCCACTGCGTTGGCTCAAAGCACCAGCCTTTTAATCAGAAGTGGAAAGCGTAACCACTCATCCCCTCGCCTCCTTGGCATCATCACCATCTGGAAACTCAATACTTGAAGTCAGTGTTGGAATCACCAGCTCAGTGTTGCCACAGTACTGCGGTGTGAAATTCCCTCTCTGAATAGTTTTACATGAAATCTTGGGGTTTTCTGTCATGTTTCTCGGTGGTCCTGTCAACCCAGTACAACTTAAGAGAATACTTACCACACGTACCCTGTCCTGTTCCTCTTTTCTTAAACATAGTCTTTGAATAGAGCCGTGATAATAGAGAAAAGCATCTTAATTATGCCACCAATTATTTTGGCAGATGTTTCTGGTAGCTCCCATGTATACACCGATGAAGCCGAAGACCTGACTCTATCCCTTTCCTTCTTTTTCAGAGAGCTATTTTGAGCCACCAGGGCCATTTGATCGATATGTGCTTGCAAACCCTGGAGAAGAAGTCACCCTCAGCTGTGAGCTTCAGGACGTCAAGCCAGTCGAAACAGTTGTGTGGGAAAAGATCCAGCCCCAACAAATCGACCTCCTGACTTTATGTAACGTGAAGGAAGGGAGAGGCTCCCTTTCAAAGTACCGAAGACCCATATATTCCACCTGCAACCAGCGGCTGATAAGCAGCTTCATCTCCATTAACCACTTAAACATCAACGACTCGGGCGTCTACCGATGCAGCTTCAAGGTCAACACGGGCGAGAATGAGACCTACCTGGCAAGACTGACAGTGACCACCCGTAATGAGGGTAAGTGGAGCCAAGGCCAGCGAGGGTCAAAATGGGGCCATGACTGCTGGGCGTTGGTTTCTGTTGTCTTGTCTTATGGCTTCATGTGACCGTTTTGTTAAAATATTTCAGTCTTTGAGTTCAGGTATGTTGGCAGTTTGGACTTGAATATTTAGTATTTCCTTCCCCCCCATTTTTTTTTTGTTTCTTCTTTTTTCACTTTTAAAAAAATTTTAATGAAAGTTTACAGAGACATAGGAAGTTTCCAGTCATTCATTGTTGCACTTTTCTCCCTGTCCACTCCTCACCCTCAATTCACTCTTCTTGAAAAGTAAAACTCTTTCACTGTTATGCAATCCCTCCCCCCAAGTCCACTCCACTGTGCAGCCTTCATTCTGGACTCATGTATTGACAATAATACCCAATCATATATCCCTTTTAAACAGTTCTTTATGTTGCTTATCTGAAACAGGAAACTCAAACCCAAACTGGTCAAATGGATTCTAAACTATAATGTTTCAATTCAAGAAGGATAGATACTTTTCCTACAAAGCCTTAGTAGGGTAGAGAGAATGGTGGTAATTGTCACGCACTATTTTATTTTTTGGTAACAGTCTTGGAAAATGCAAAGGATCATTCCTTAAAGAAGCATAACTCACCTACCGACAGTGAAGCTGCCTCTTTTGTTGCTGTTGTTAGGTGCCGTGGAGGCCACCATGACTGTAGTGACCCTAGAAACAGTCGGTCTGCCCTGGCCCTCTTCTGTGACTCCCTCTGTGCTCTGGGCCTGCTTGAGCCATTTGTTACAATCACTGTCTCAGTCCTTCTGATTGAGGGCCTTCTCTTTCCCTGACCTCCCCCTTCCCCAGATGGGGGGTCCTTTTCCCAAGGCTGCCCTTTCCTGAGAGCATTCAAATGAGTGCAGGGCTGCAGGGCGGCTTTGCCTCCACCCTGGTTGCACTGAATCCAAGACAGGCTTGTTCCTTCAGCAGTGTGTGAGGTATTCTTCCCTATACCCTTTTTAGTGTGTTGATTTATTTCTGTTTGCTTTTTAGGATATACACACAGAACATAAATCATTCCAACTCTTACTCTACGTACAATCCAGTGACAGTACTTGTTCTCTGAGTTGTCACCCATCTCAGCCCCTTTTTTTCTGAGTTGTTTCTCTCCTGTGAATATAAATTTGCTGCCTCTGAGATACTTTTGAATCTTCTTATTAGGTGTTGTCACTTTGATGCCATAAATATTGTTCTTAAAAGAGCCTAATGCTCAATGCAAAGGTTCTTTCCTAGTTAAGCTGAACCATTGTTTTAAGAAGCCTTGGGCTTTGTTGGTGTATTGCCTGCAATTGTTACAGGAGTAACCTTTTATCACCTGGAACCTTTGGTGGGTCAGAATTCTTGGGTCCAAGAACTTCACAAGCATAGAGCATGGCTCCTGGCCTATGAATTACAGTAATTCAACAACAGATCTTTTCTATTTTCTTGACCTGCGACATTCCTGACATTTTAAAGATAATTAATTTAACTAGAGTTTGAAAAAGACAAGATGTTGGCAGTCTTTTAGATATGTAACTTTAGATATGTAATTCTCCTCTTCCCAAATATGTCACAAATGTTCAGAGGTGGTAACTAGTTCTTATTACCTTACATAAGCCCTCTGGGTATTTACCGAATCAGGGCAGAGTATGAATTCAACAGGTGTTTGACCTTCAGGAGCTAGTTGGCCAAAGCTCAGTCAGTCCATTTCTGCCGACTACGGAACAGAAAGATCAAGCACCAAATTGTCTCTCCCGTTGTCATCTTTGCCATGACGGAGCCATGCAGGGGTGCACCCTGCTCCCCAAGTCCCCATTCCACTCTCTGTGAGAGTGAGGACAGCAGTGTTGGCTCTCCTAAAGTCCCAAACCCAGGGGGGATCCAGGCTCCTGCTCTGTGAGCTCTGTCAGAGGAAGGCTGTGGCAGGGACAAGCTCTCCATCAGAGGACAGGCCCAGGAAACCACTCCTTTTTATCAGTGATAAACTCTTTAT